ATATCATCAAAGAAAGACATGATAGTACACTATATAGCCTAGTTCCCAACGAATGTTGTCCTATAAGTAAATAAATAAATACATAGTGTAATAAAATTCCTCCAACAGGATTCGAACCTGAGAAATCTCGCTGTTAAGGGGGGAGACATAACCATTAGACCATAGAGGCTTCATGGTAAATTGAAATAACCGTCAGGTACAGATGTAGGCCTATATATAGGCTATATAGATATGGATGGGTGGGTATAGATTAAAGGGAAAATAGTGAAAAAAACAATGCTGTGGGAAATAGCAAGCCCATCAATCGGGCAAGTTTGCACGCCGTCCGGACCGCTTCCAGTTATCAGTCAGAATTTGACACGGTCGATCCGCTCTAGTCGGCCCGCTGTCAATCCGCTCGAGTCGGCCGGCCTATCTAAACGACTCGGTCGAACGATGCCCGAATTGGCTCTATAAAATAACATTCTAACGTCTGCATTGTTCTTCCGATCAGTAATTCAAGAAGAACCAAGATACATGTAACATTGTCAGTTTGTGAAAAATTGAAGTAAATATATACGCCGCTATTGCAATACCCTCAGTTCTCCTTCGAAGTGTCGAGCGTAATAATGATGGTAGTCTCCCACAAACGCACAATACTAATGCCTAATTTACTATTATTACGTAAATTGGATAACCTATATATTTCTCTCTCTCTCTCTCTCTTTCTCCCTCTCTCTCTCTTAGATTTGACGATGAATACCGGTACAGAAGATGTCAAAAATGCTTTGGAATGTTCAATTTGTTTTAGGAGACTACAAGAGCCGAAGTCACTAAGCTGCCTTCATACATTCTGCTTGATTTGCCTTCAAAATTTGATGGAAAAACAAGGAAAGTTAGTGTGCCCAACATGCAGACAATCACAGATGATTCCCGAGGGCGGGTTACAAAAGCTTCTTCCAAACATATATGTCAAAAATATGTTGGAGTGTTTGGAGAAACTAGAGAATGCAGGAAACACTGTGTGTTGTTGCAGCCAAACCAAAGCAGCTTTTTTTTGCCAACAATGCATAATTTTCTTATGCTCCGTTTGTATTAAGCAACATAAGATTTTACCAACACTTGTTAGCCACACTTTACATTCCATAGAGGACATCAAGACGATGACATTGCAGCAGTTTTCATCTCTCCACCCAGCATTATGCCCTGAACACAAAGATGCTCTGAAGTATTATTGTACGAAATGTAAGACCGCGTTTTGCATTCACTGCACCAAAAATAAAGATGGCAGTCATCATTATATTGATATATCTTACGCATTCGATATATTCAAACAAAAAGCTATTAATACTGAACCGACAGTTGAAAACTTCAAAAGTAAAATAAAGTTGGGCCAGAAAACCATCAAACTTTGTCTCGAGACCTTAGCTAAAAATAAGGATACGTGTGATCAGGAAATTGACGGACTGGTAAAGGAAGCTATAGATATTGTTAGAAAACACGGCATAGCATTGAAACAGGACGTTGATGTTATTTTTCAGCAAAAGAAACGCACAATTGAAAGTCAGGATGGGGAACTGACTACACTTCTAAAAAAAGTAACACGAACACAAATTTTTATTTCACAGTTAATGAACAGCGATGCAGCTACAGCCGTGGAATCATGCGATAAAGCATTTGCAACAATGAGGAAACAAATCGAAAACCTACCAGAAGTGAAACAAGGTAATAATGACGTATTTTTTTGTAAAGAAAGGACACAACTTCTTGCCTTGAGAGAAAAGGGAATCGGTGTCATACACATTAACGGCGTCCCATTCCGGATGAGAAACAGAATAAGCGATGAAGCAACAGTGAAATCCTGCGATAAAGCGGTTGTTGCGATATTAGATGATAATGATGTTGGTGGTGATGATGGTGATGAGGATTATGATGATGGTGATGCTACTGACAATGGTGATGAGGATAATGATGATTATGATTATGATAGTGATGATCATGATGATAATGCGAACCCCTTTGTCACCGTCAGAAAGAAAGCAAAAGTAAGAACGAACGGCGTCGCTTCTGGGTTGGAAGACAGTTATCAAATCGCGTCAAGTGACCCAGTCATTGTTACTCAGGGGCAGATATGTAAAGTAAAAATTATTCACAACAGTTGTGTGATGGATTCCACGCCACTTAAAGCCATTCTTAAACATTCCACTGGAGCCATGTTTGATATCGCGGTTCAAAAGATAAATGGTAACAGTTACATTGTCAAGTACTATAGTAAAATTGTTGGTATAGCATATGTTTGTGTTTATGTCCAGGAAAAGGAGATACGGGGATCACCCATTCGTATAAATGTAGTTTCAGGAAGATTAGATATAACTGGTGGATGTCCAGATATGAAGCCGTATATATGGCATCAGGAAACAAGGGTAATGGATATTGTGATTGATAATTACATATTAGTCGCTGGCTGCAGCAATGAAGTTGTCCGGTTTCAATTATGTGGGAAATATGTAGATAGAATATTTCTGCCTAAAGGTACTAAAGTAAATAGAATGTATTATATTAAACAAAGTGGTGGCTTGCTGATAAGTGATGGGGGAAAGACGCGCATTGTAGTACATTCCACTTCCAATGGGAATGATGTCCTAAAATGGAATGGGTTACTAGAACCATACGGAATAACAATGGACGAGTCAAAACAGAGTAAACCTATGTATGTTTCAGACATAAAAGCGCATTGCATATTCATCTACCATTTGAATAGTGGTGGGCTAGTCAGAAGAGTTGGTAATCAAGGCAGCCATTCCTTGTATCAGATGGAGAGGCCTCATGATGTTATAGTTACCAAAGGAGGGAACATATTAGTGGCCGATTATGGTAACAGTAGATTGCTATTATTAACAAGTGATGGAACGCCTTTGAAACAACCTCTGAAAGGAAAAATATACCACCCCCGTGCAATCATAGCTGACAAAGACGGAAACATAATCGTTGCAAATAAATCAGAGCTGAAGATTTTCGACATTGAAGAACATTTAATCAAGGAAATAAGTGGATCAGGTGCATTAGAAGGGTTAACCATGTGGTCATATATCTCAAGAAGCGCTGCAGTTGCAGACTCTGAAAACAGCAAAATTAAAGTATTCAATTACTAATTGCAGTTTAGATTCAAGTTTGTTTGTCATATGCTGTCAAAACAAGAAAACTCACCTGATGAAGCCCCGTTGACTGGGGTGAAAGCTTGTATTGTTAGTAAAAAAAAGTGCTACTCATTTTTTCGGCTGCCAAAACAATATCTATCATATTCTGCAAAAGCAATATTTAAAAATACTGTATATACATTCAAAACACATTTTTGTTATATTTATTTATATAAGTGATAGACAAAATAAAGTATTAAATAATTTTTTTTTAATGAATTGAATTGAATAAGTTCATGCATAAAAGCTCAAATCTGGGTGTAATTCCCACGAAAGTTAATAAAATACCTGTCTAAGTATATTTTGGTAATAATTGACAATGTGGCCTTAATGAAAAAGAATATATTTTTTAGATATTATCAAAAATTGTGTTGAAAGAGTTATAGTCAGCTATTGTGAACTGACCCTATTAAGTGTAATTAATTTTTATATTTTTGAGGTCTGATGACAAAAAATTAACAAAAAGACAAAGAATAAAGGTGGATAGAATCCCCTCAAAAG